TGTGGTCTTGTTCGGGAATTTGGGTGAATGTCAAGCCCTAAGACTGTGATCTCAGTGAGCCTTATCGCTGGGTAGAGTCAGTATCTGTGAAGCTGATGAACACAATCTGAACTGTTGTAATCATGATACCTAAACATGGCATGACTTAGAGAGTCTGTGAGGTGTGACGTGTGGGAGACACAGATTGTGTGTCACTTGTCCTCTTACCTCCATTGTGTGTATGCACCCACTGCCAGCTAATGCTGTGCGTCGTGGCAGGTTGGTAATCTCTCACAGCACTGGGCGACACAGGTTCCACCTGAATGGTATAGACCACATATCCAGAAGTCACTTCACAATGGATAAGAAGAAGATGTGTAAAGAATGCTATGTGCATGGAAAGTTACACACATTTTTGCAAGCTATACTGAGTGTGAAAGAACATCAGGAACATGGTAAGTAATACACCCTGGTTCTACATCTGTGTTCAGGGGGTGGTGGGGTAGCCTAATGGTTAAAGCGTCGGCTCGTCACGCTGACGACCCGGGTTCGAATCCCCACATGGGCACAATGTGTGAAGCCCATTTATGGTGTCTCCCATTTATGGTGTCCCCCGTGATATTGCTGGAATATTGCTAAAAACGGCATAAAACCCAACTCACTCACTCACTCTGTGTTCAGTGTTAGATGCGGAAGCACCAGGTTGGACATGGTGAGTGGAAACTACCAAGAATGTTATAGTTAACAACCACCAAGGAATAACAACAATTGGTATTTTGGAGAAACTTACAATATGGTATGTAGGAGCCAGTTTGGATGAGATATTTGGGTCTGCCTACAAGCTGACATTTAGAAGTAACTTAGAATATGGTATTTAAGAGACTCATAGGATATGGTATTAGGAGCCACCATCAATGAGGTATTTTGAGGCCACCTTTTATAGTGAGTTTTTGAAAAGCCACTTTTCGTGACTGGAATAAGGTATTTTGGAACCACCAGGGACATTGAATTAAAAGGAGCCACCTAGGCTATTGAACCCAAAGGAACCACCTAGGCTATTAAATCCAAAGGAACCACAAAGGGCATTGAACCTAACGGAGCCAGCTAGGCTATTAAATCCAAAGGCACTGCCAGGGATATTGAAACTAAAGGAGCCAGCTAGGCTATTGAATCCAAAGGAGCCACCTAGGCTATTAAACCCAAAGGAACCATCAAGGGCATTGAACCTAAAGGAGCCAGCTAGGCTATTGAACCTAAAGGAACTACCGAGGCTACTGATCCCAAAGGAGCCATCTAGGCTATGGAACCCAAAGAAGCCACCTAGGCTATGGATCCCAGATTGAACCCAAAGGAGCCACCAGGGACATTTGAACCTTAAGGAGCCAGCTAGGCTATTGAACCCAAAGGAGCTTCCAAGGCAACTGATCCCAAAGGAGCCACGAGGCTACTGATCCCAAAAGGACCTAGGCTATCTAGGCTGTGGAACCCAAAGGAGCTTCCAAGGACAGCTGAACCCAAAGGAGCCAGCTAGGCTATTGAACCCAAAGGAGCTTCCAAGGCTACTGATTCCAAAGGAGCCATCTAGGCTGTGGAACCCAAAGGAACCACCAAGACATTAGTACCTGATGGAACCACCTTGGATACAGTATTCAAGAACCACCAAGGATATATCGTAGTCAGGAGTAATATAGGATATGATATTTGGAAGCCACATAGGATAGGATATTTAAGAGCCACATATTCAGAAAACTCATAGGATATGGTTTTTAGGAGCCACTTAATGAGTGGTGTTTAGGAACTATCTAGAGTATAATGTTTAGGACCAACTTTGAAAACGACTTAACAACTGAATTGGCAACCATTGTAAACCCTGCTGTTAAGTAGATGTTACAGCCAGAAGTATTCTGTAATGATTCGTGGTGACATGTTGAAAAGTGTCAGTTCCTAACACATCAGCAATGAATAATATTGAAACAATTGCATTTGTGATGACATGTTGATCACTTTTGTGTTGTAGCTTTGAAGTCTGTGATCCTTGCCTTGAATTGACTTATAGAAGGACCTTTGAATTTAGTGGCTAAAGTGTGCACCATGGTGCAGTTGTAACTAAAATAGTGCAGGTTTTCTGGGACATTGTTTTGTAGGGGGACCAAAACAAATGAATTTTATCACTGTCTAAACTGACTCACCTCCTGGAAAATTCCCTCACTCAGCCATTCACTTAACTCGGGTTGTATCTGTTGCTGGGGTAGTCCTCATGACTGCTGGAAGGATTGTGATCGATGAAATTCTGGGTTTGAACCCATTCCCTGCTGACCCTTGGCTATGGGACACTGTACCACACAGCAAACTGATGGATATTGGTCATGTTGTCGAGGGAGGAGCTCTTACTGACATGCTGTAGTGTGGCTACCAGACTGTCAGCAGATCTACTTCTCTCAGGAGTTGTTTCAATGATTTGGTAATGAAATATATCAATGATTGATTACTATTTGATTGAGATTGTTTCTTTCATATCAAAATCTGTGTGTATCTTGTAACATGTTCATGAATTCCTTTCTCTCTAAAGGATTTATGGAGATAAGTTTGAATCGTACCAAATTTGACGTTGATTCAAGTTGTCAGGTATCTGATTACTTTCTGTATAAATGTCCACCCCACAGGAACACTATCAGCTTAGCATTCTCATGTCAATGACATCTTATCCCGAATCAGTTCAATGCTTACATTATCAGGCAGGTATCAGAGCTCTAGGAGACTTAATCTCACGGTTGATATTACAACCCTGCAGGGCTAGGGAGCAGCAAGGCTGAGGACCAGCTAGAGACCAGCTAGAGACCAACTCCACACACATTGCTATGTTGTAGTAGATACTGTTGACATTCCTGTGGGGAGTGGATGTTTATGTGGATGTCAAGCTGTGGGAAGTCTGTAGTGGGTGATGATTCCTGATGGAGATTCTGTATTGATACATGGGAATGTGGACATGCCATCTACCCAGTGGAAGAATCATGTACTCAATGGAAGCAGTGGACATGGAACTCGTTTATCACTCATGGTGCTCAAGGACTCAAACTGTGTATCACAAGACATTTGAAGCAGATGCTTACAGATGTTAATTGGGAGCTAACCTCGGACATACTGGCAGTCCTTGTCTATATCTCAGATACACTGTGGTTGTGGGGGTGTACTATTACTAGTTTTGTTCCTGGAAATGTATAACAGCAGGCATTTGATGGCACAGGTTTTATTGAACACAAGTTAGGGTTTCCTACAAGCTGTTCAATCACAAATTGCTTGTCTGGTATCTCAAATGTTGTAATGTATATCAGTATAGCAGCTCTTGGTTACTCTGTTTACATCTGGACATTGCCTCAATTTCACACAAGGCATAAACTAGAATGCACAGACATTGGAAATATATGGGCACCAGACCATGAAGACATCGCCGTTCTTTCAACATTAATGTGATCAAGCTGTTAGCGCACAATGACATTTATGGACTTGACAGCCTGGTGTATATATCTAGCTCACAATGGAATGTTCTGTACCGTGAACTGAGGCAAATCTGAGACATGTTTCTGCTGAAGGGTGTGTCACCATCTACTCTGAGTGGGGGTAAGACTTGGGTGTAGGGGTGTCACCATCAACTGTGAGTAGGGGTAAGACTTGGGGGTAGGGGTGTCACCATCAACTCTGAGTAGTCTGAGTTTGGGTAAGACTTGGGGTAGGGGTGTCACCATCAAATCTAAGTGGGGTAAGACTTGGGAAGAGGGGTGTCACCATCAACAGTGAGTGGGGTAAGACTTGGGGTAGGGGTGTCACCACCATCAACTCTGAGACTGGGGGGTAAGGGGTAAGACTTGTTGGGGGTAGGGTGGGTGTGACCATCAACTCTGAGTCTGAGTGGGGGTAAGACTTGGGGGTAGGGGTGTCACCATCAACTCTGAAGGGTGGGGGTAAGACTTGGGGGTAGGGGGTGTCAACCATCAACTCTGAGTGAGTGGGGTAAGACTTGGGGGTAGGGGGTGTCAACCATCAACTCTGAGTGGGGGTGGGTATGACTTGAATGGGGGTAGAGGTGTCACCATCAACTCTGAGTGGGGGTAAGACTTCAGGATAAGGGTGTCACCATCAACTCTGAATGGGGGTAAGACTTGGGGGTAGGTGTGTCACCATCAACTCTGATGGGGTAAGTGGGGGTAAGACTTGGGGACAGGTGGTGTCACCATCAACTCTAGACTTTGGGGGTAAGACTTCAGGATAAGGGTGTCACCATCAACTCTATTTGGGGTAAGTCAGGATAAGGGGTAAGACTCTTGGGGTACTTGGGGGTAGGGATGCTACCATCAACTCTGAATGGGGGTAAGACTTGGGGATAGGGGTGTCACCATCAACTCTATTTGGGGTAAGACTTCAGGATAAGGGTGCCACCATCAACTCTGAGTGGGGTAAGACTTGGAGTAGAGGTAAGGGCATTTTCTCAAGCGAGGGAATATTTGTTACAATACTGTCTGCATGCTGTGTGTATGACAAAATTGTGATGGAGAAAGTTTGCTGTGGAATTGATTGCACAGATATGTTAAGATTACTTTGAACTGAAAACACTGTTATCTTTTTCACCTCAATTTATTCACCTGTTCTGTTTGTTTTACGTTTGCACAACTACATATAAGTTAGAATTGATGAGCAGGTGATACAATGTTTTGATATTTGGTATTTGAAATTAAGCATATTAGTCTAGGGGTGCAAGTATCTCAGACTTGAGGAGCCACTTATTGTTCCATCAGCATGGAAGATGTATGTCAGCAGGAACAACATCATCATCAACAGGATTAATCTTGGCTATCAGCACAGACATGTTAGTTAATCCAAGACAACTGGAAGTCTCTCCCCAAATCTGGTTATTTGGCAAAAAAGCCTCTAGTCTTGATGGTGTTGACCCCTGATGGACATGTGGTGGGTGATGTTGTTGTCTGTGATGCTGTAGTTGCTGTTGCAGTGGCTGTTGGCTGTTTCAGAGAAGATCCCGATCCACTACCGTGGCAGCAAGAGGCCGATAGTTCCAGCTGCAGCATGTGCACATGACCTGAGTCGGCCAGATGTGGTCAGTCCGGATGATGATGAAAGTGTTGGTTCACACCCACACAGTGCGCAGTTTGCCCCTAAAGCTCAGAGAGCAGCTGCATTCCTACCAGGTACACTACTTTGTTTATGCCGAGAATTGTATTTTGATGTGAGAACCTGACAAATAAACTTAACATAAATCTGAAAAAAATCTTCTAGGTTACCCAGCAGGAAGTGTTTTCAATAAACTCGAACATAGATTCTTGATCTATGAACTATTGCCTAAAGTTTGCAATATAGTTAAGATTGGGGTTCTCATGTGTGAGTATTTCTGAAAACATAAATAAAAGCATTGTTGATTTGTTGTATTTTGGAAATGATAAATGATTCTTGTTGCATACAAGTGTACAATTAGTAGACTACAAATTGCAAATTACAGGTAATTGCAGGACATGGTTCTCAATCTTACTCATGTTCCCAGAGTCACAGGAAGAATATAAAGTTTTGATGATCCAGTAAGAAATGGTATTTAAGGAACCGTAATCACTCATTATGTGACTTCAGTGAAACTAGGATCTACTAAATTATATACTCTTGTGTTTGGAAGACAGGGTTTATGCATAGAATGGAATTACTGAATACATAGAGAATCTCACCTGAGTGTCTTTTGATATCAAATATGTCACCACAAGTTGATAAAGTTGCAAATATCCCAGGATATTTTCACTTTTATCAACGAGTGTTGATATATTTGATATCAAAAGACACGAGGGTGAGATTCTATTTATCATCAAAAATCATTCTTCTTTCAATAAAAAAATGCACATCTCTGAACACAGTACAGTCATCAGCCACTAGATCTTCGCGTTTGATTCCCAGGACAGAATAGGTCCCCAGCAGCCCATGCTTGAAGGCAGGATTGGATGGCTGCATGGCCTCACACCCCAACATGTAGGGCTCATAATGTCAATCACTGGCTCATCCGGTCTAGACCTGATTAGTTTTGGACCACTCCATATATCTGGAATATTGATGAGTGCATCATTACACATTTACTGAATCATTGCATAACTATGTCTTTCACAGGTGACCGTGTCATATTTGCTGAGAGTCCATCGGCACCTGGCATCCCAGTTGTTTACAGGGCCCCAGAGGAACGGGCATCCAACCCAGACAGACTCAACTTGGACAGGTGAGATCTCAGGCTAATAGGGCAGCATATGGTGATCAGGTTAAAGGGCATTGTTTATAGGCCATGTCAAATATAGTATCATATAGCTGGAATATTGCTGAGTGTAGCGTACAACTAAACTCACTCACTCACTCATTAAAAGAAAATTTGCAATAAAAACCCTGGTTATATAATTTACCTAAGCCATAGCACCCTAACATGGTTACAGAGTACTGTGTGTTTCTGTTGTTTTTCTCATTGCTGTACATAACTGAAAACACTGAAATCTTTCCACATGAGGACTTTCATGTCAAAGAAGTGGTTTGGTCTCTGTAGAAGTGGCATGCATTGTGGCACTTCTTCTGTGTAATAATGTCTGTATATGGAAGCATGGGAGGCATATTGATTTGGAGATGGAGGCCAATGCCTGGAGAAGGATGAATTAAGTATGTAAGACTTATCTCCCTTTGTGTCTGTGTGTCTTGATGTTTGTGGCCTGGCATTGTGGAGAGTGTGTCTGACGTTCAGAAAGATCATGGATGTTTTCTTCCCTACTTCAAGACGGAAACTCACAGTATGTCCGATCCTGGAGGGCGAAGAACAGCTCCGGCTCCTCAACTACCAACACAACTTCATCACCAAGATTCAACACCTCAGCTCACTCAAACGCCTCATATTTCTAGATCTCTATGACAACCAGATAGAAGAGATAAATGGACTGAGTGCACTCAAGTCCCTCAGGGTGCTCATGCTGGGGAAAAACAAGTAAGTGCACACTGAGTCCTTGTTATTACGTTTTGGATCAAGATGGATGAGACCCACGGTGAAATCATGCCCCCTAAACCCTCATCCACAGAGCAGACGTAGCCCTACAGCTGTCCAAGTCTAGGATGAAGTATTGGAGCTGTGATCACATCAGTGCTAAGATCCTTAACTGGAGCAGGGCCCTTGACTATAATGGTTTGTTTCTGTAACATATATCAGGGCTCGATTTAGTGCTTTGTTACTTGCACTGATGCTAGCCAATATTACAAAGTGCAACGTAGTTATTAGTCTAACTTGCACCAGGTGCAGGTCAATTTTTGAGTGGGTAAACTTCTGAATAAAACATATAAATAATTCAATAGCATATTCCATTCATTACATATTACCATAAAAGCAGTGCAACTGGAATTTGGCTTGTGCAACTAGGTTTTTATCTCAGGTTGCACCTGGTGCAAGTAGGTTAACATATCTTAAATCGAGCCCTGTATATTGTAACTTGTTCATACATACCAATGCTATACTCCAGAACGGTCTTAATCCTATATGATGTTATTGGAACTGTCTGGATCCACAGAATAAGATGGATATATGGTGTGTTGAAAACCTGTTTACTGACATCATTCATATTGATCTCACTTTCATTTGCAGGCTTAAGAAAATAGAAAATCTTGAGAATCTGGTCAAACTGGATGTTTTGGACTTGCATGGCAATCAAGTATGTCCCTCTGGGTTGTTTTAGTTATGGTGGTCTGGATTGTACTCTGCTGTTGAGTTTTCGGCTATAAGTTATAATAGCGCCCTACCCATGGGGATTGTGGGTTGGAATTGATCTCCAGAAATATATGTATTTATTTAATTGGGTGGTCAGTGACTTGTTGGATGATGTGTCAGCACACCCTAAGGTTGTGGGTTGTTGCTGACACAGTCACTGGATTGTCTGGTCCAGACTCAGATATTTACAGGTCTCCTTAATGGTGACATGGTTCAGAATGATTGACAGCGTGCCTTAGGAAGTAGTGTTTTCTATTGTCATATTCAGAAAGTGTGTCGGATTCATATAGTGTGCCATGTGTGGATTCAAATAGACCCAGTCACATTTATTTAACTTTGGCTTGATTACTATGTTGTTAAGATGATGCTAGATTTACTTCAATAAAGATTCATACACTTTAGAAACTGAGTTGATTTGCAATGCAAGAATGAAATGGTTACATCTTCTGCACATGTCATTGTCCGCCTGCAGATCAAAGTCATAGAGAACCTGAGCCACCTGGGAGAGCTGAGGGTCCTCAATCTGGCCGGCAACCAGATCCGACACGTGGACAACTTGATGGGGATGGATGCATTAGCGGAACTCAACCTACGGAGGAACAGGATACGGACTATAGTGAGTTTGAAAATGTTTTGGTCAATTCTACTGTTTCATCCATTGTCAGAAATTGTAGACCATGTGCCCTGTTCCACTGGCAGGATAGGCCACATGAACTACAATCAACATCCACTGACAGTGAATGGCGGTCATATAAAGAGATCCCTGCTGTAGGTGTGACCGGCATATTGCAGGTTGTCAAAGTGGATCATAGGGTCACTATCAACACTTTGTCACAGTGAGTCACAGGGCACTGTTAACAGGCTGACACAGTAAGCCAAGAGTCACTGTTAACAGGTTGACACAGTAAGCCAAGAGTCACTGTTAACAGGCTGACACAGTAAGCCAAGGGTCACTGTTAACAGGCTGACACACTAAGCCAAGAGTCACTGTTAACAGGTTGACACAGTAAGCCAAGGGTCACTGTTAACAGGTTGACACAGTAAGCCAAGAGTCACTGTTAACAGGTTGACACAGTAAGCCAAGGGTCACTGTTAACAGGTTGACACAGTAAGCCAAGAGTCACTGTTAACAGGTTGACACAGTAAGCCAAGGGTCACTGTTAACAGGTTGTCACAGTAAGCCAAGGGTCACTGTTAACAGGTTGACACAGTGAGTTACAGGTCACTGTTAACAGGTTGACACAGTGAGTTACAGGTCACTGTTAACAGGTTGACACAGTAATCCAAGAGTCACTGTTAACAGGTTGACACAGTTAGCCAAGGGTCACTGTTAACAGGTTAACAGAGTTAGCCAAAGGGTCACTGTTAACAGGTTGACACAGTAAGCCAAGGGTCACTGTTAACAGGTTGACACAGTAAGCCAAGAGTCGCTGTTAACTGGTTGTCACAGTAAGCCAGAGTCACTGTTAACAGGTTGTCACAGTAGAAGCCAAAGGGTCACTGTTAACAGGTTGTCACAGTAAGCCAAGGGTCACTGTTAACAGGTTGTCACAGTAAGCCAAGGGTCACTGTTAACAGGATGACACAGTAAGCCAAGGGTCACTGTTAACAGGTTAACACAGTTAGCCAAGGGTCACTGTTGACATGTTGACACAGTTATCCAAGAGTCACTGTTAACAGGTTGACACAGTAAGCCAAGAATCACTGTTAACAGGTTGACACAGTTAGCCAAGGGTCACTGTTAACAGGTTGACACAGTAAGCCAAGAGTCACTGTTAACAGTTTGACACAACAGGAGTCACAGTAAGTTACTGTTAACTGGTTGACACAGTTAGCCAAGGGTCACTGTTAACAGGTTGACACAGTAAGCCAAGGGTCACTGTTAACAGGTTGACACAGTAAGCCAAGGGTCACTGTTAACAGGTTGACACAGTAAGCCAAGAATCACTGTTAACATGTTGACACAGTAAGCCAAGGGTCACTGTTAACAGGTTGACACAGTAATCCAAGAATCACTGTTAACAGGTTGACACAGTTAGCCAAGGGTCACTGTTAACAGGTTGACACAGTTAGCCAAGGGTCACTGTTAACAGGTTGACACAGTAATCCAAGAGTCACTGTTAACAGGTTGACACAGTTAAGCCAAGGGTCACTGTTAACAGGTTGACACAGTAAGCCAAGAGTCACTGTTAACAGGTTGACACAGTGAGTCACAGGTCACTGTTAACAGGTTGACACAGTAAGCCAAGGGTCACTGTTAACAGGTTGACACAGTAAGCCAAGGGTCACTGTTAACAGGTTGACACAGTAAGCCAAGGGTCACTGTTAACAGGTTGACACAGTAAGCCAAGGGTCACTGTTAACAGGTTGACACAGTAAGCCAAGGGTCACTGTTAACAGGTTGACACAGTAAGCCAAGGGTCACTGTTAACAGGTTGACACAGTAAGCCAAGGGTCACTGTTAACAGGTTGACACAGTAAGCCAAGGGTCACTGTTAACAGGTTGACACAGTAAGCCAAGGGTCACTGTTAACAGGTTGACACAGTAAGCCAAGAATCACTGTTAACAGGTTGACACAGTAAGCCAAGGGTCACTGTTAACAGGTTGACACAGTAAGCCACAGAGTCACTGTTAACAGTTTGACACAGTGAGTCACAGGTCACTGTTAACTGGTTGACACAGTTAGCCAAGGGTCACTGTTAACAGGTTGACACAGTAAGTCACTGTTAAAGGGTCACTGTTAACAGGTTGACACAGTAAGCCAAGGGTCACTGTTAACAGGTTGACACAGTAAAGCCAAGGGTCACTGTTAACAGGTTGACACAGTAAGCCAAGAGTCACTGTTAACAGGTTGACACAGTAACAGAATCACTGTTAACAGGTTGACACAGTAAGCCAAGGGTCACTGTTAACAGGTTGACACATGATGAAGCCAAGAGTCACTGTTAACAGGTTGACACAGTTAGCCAAGGGTCACTGTTAACAGGTTGACACAGTAATCAAGAATCACTGTTAACAGGTTGACACAGTTAGCCAAGGGTCACTGTTAACAGGTTGACACAGAATCACTGTTAACAGGTTGACACAGTTATCCAAGAATCACTGTTAACCACAGTTAAAGCCAGTCACTGTTAACAGGTTGACACAGTAAGCCAAGAAGTTCACTGTTACAGGTTGACAGGTTGACACAGTTACAAGGGTCACTGTTAACAGGTTGACACAAGTGTAAAGAGTCACTGTTAACAGGTTGACACAGTAAATAAGGGTCACTGTTAACAGGTTGACACAGTAAGCCAAGAATCACTGTTAACAGGGTTGTAATCCAAGAATCACACAGTAAGTTAGAATCACTGTTAACAGGTTGACACAGCCAAGCCAAGGGTCACTGTTTAACAGGTTGACTGTTAACAGTAAAGTCAAGAATCACTGTTAACAGGTTGACACAGTTAGCCAGGGTCACTGTTAACAGGTTGACACAGTAAGAATCACTGTTAACAGGTTGACACAGTTAGCCAAGAGTCACTGTTAACAGGTTGACAGTGAGTTACAGGTCACTGTTAACAGGCCCTAACACAGTAAGTCAAGGGTCACTGTTAACAGGTTGACACAGTAAGCCAAGAATCACTGTTAACAGGTTGACACAGTTAGCCAAGGGTCACTGTTAACAGGTTGACACAGTAATGCCAAAGAGTCACTGTTAACAGGTTGACACAGTAAGCCAAAGGTCACTGTTAACAGGATGACACAGTAAAGTCAAGAGTCACTGTTAACAGGCTGACACAATAAGTCAGGGGTCACTGTTAACAGGCTGACACACTAAGCCAAGAGTCACTGTTAACAGGTTGTCACAGTAAGTCACACGGTTACTGTTACCATTTTGACACACAGAAACTATTAACCCTGCAGTCACTTTGAACACAGAGGGTCAATATTAACAGGTCTACACAAGGAGACGTCATAGGACCACCTTAATAGGCTATCATATTGAGACATACAGTCACTATCAACAGGCTTTGACATTGAGAGTCACACAGTCACTATTAATGCTGTCACATTGAGGACATACAGTCACTATTAATGCTGTCAAAGTGAATCTGCGTCACTATCAACTGGCTTTCACAGTGAATCACAGGGTCACTATTAACAGGTTGTTACAGTGAGTTACACTGCTACTATTAACGATGTCAACACAGTCAGACAGGACCACTATAACAAACTGTCACATTGAGTCACAGTCCCTTAGGGCCACTTTAATGCTGTCACTGTGAGTCACAAAGTCACTATTGAAGCCTGTCACAGTGAGTCACACAGTCACTATTAACCCTGTCACAGTGAGTCACACAGTCACTATTAACCCTATCATAGTGAATCACAGGGTCACTATAACAGATACTGTTCCTCTCCCAGGTGGATGTAGACAGTCTCCCCAACCTGCAGCGACTCTTCCTCAGCTTCAATGACATCTGCAGGTAAGAAGCTGTCAGTAGTGTAGACTTTTTTAGTAGTGTACAGTGTTACTCCGTGTAGACAATCAACTCTGGCTTCTGCCTACGTTCCAACTCCAGGAACTGCAGGAAACTGTTACAGGATTTGGTAACAAACATGACTGAGATTATTTCTAAAAAATGATTCAAATATGCCCTATTATCCATACAATTCTATCATCTGTACAATGCGTCATAAAGCCAGCTGGTTTCAGTAAGGTTGTCAAGGCTTCTGTCCATGTTTGTGACACCCAGTCCAGTGTTCGGTGGCAAGTCCTAACATTGGTGATATTTGAATGGCAGCATACAGTGATCGAAATAATTTTCAAGCTGAACCAGACCATTGGACAGGTGATCAATAAATGTTGCCTGCCCATCTTGAAAGTTGCCTGCCCGCACTTTTGACTCATAAATTGCATTTTTTTACAAAAACAAACAAGTATCATTGTTTCAAATGTGAATTAACTCAGCAAATTAAAAACAACAAGCATGAAATACTCACAGTCACCTCCCCAGCCTGTGACACTTGAAAAGAACCTGTTAAACTTGCAATTCCCCTTATCGGTTTACATCATCAAAATGATATATTGCGAAAATTTAGAGCGATACAACCTCAAATATATCTTCTCGCATGTTATACATACAAAGCTTCCAAAGGGAGGTATTTAAAATATCAATAAATATAATATCAGTCAGACAATCGGGCTGGTGGAGATTTTTTCAGGCAGCCCGACATGAAAGTTGCCCGCTTCAGTCAGGCGGGCAGGCCGTTATTTCAATCACTGGCGGCATATAGTCTGTGCACAGATCATAGTTGGATGGCAAACTGGCCATGTCGACTCGTGAGAGTTTCGGTCCTGCCCCACACTGACGCCCATGTAGCACATGTGGTGTCTTCTTGAACAAGTGTCTTTGCCTTTGTTCACCCGGAATTGTGATGGGTACCTGGTAGGATGAGATGATAATGTGACTGATTCATTCACCAAATGATAGTGCTTTCAGTATGCATAAAGTGTCTACAGGCAAGCACAATATAAATACACACTTTAGTAGTAGTATTATAATATTTTCATCACTCACTTATTATCCCCTGCGCTCGTTTATTACAACAGAAGGCGGGGGATATAGTATTAGGCTCCGTCTGTCCGTGCGTCACAATTGAAATATCTTAAGAACCGTTGACTGGATTCTTTTCATATTTGGTACCTAGGTTCATCACAGTAAAAGAAAGGTCCCAGTCAGGTTTGGTGACCTTGACCTTCATTTCAAGGTCACAAGGGGACTTTAACGTTTTACCCTTGTCAGCGAGATATCTCATGAACCGTTCACTGGATTTTCTTCATATTCAACACCAAGCTTTATCTAGGGAAGGCGCAGGGCCCAGTCAATTTTGGTGACCTTCACCTAATTTTCAAGGTCATGGTGACACTTTAAAGATTTCAGCCTGTTAACCTGCATGTAAAGATTGTCAGCGAGATATCTCAAGAACCATTCACTGGACTTTCTTCATATTTGACACCAAGCTTCATCTGGGAAGGTGCAAGGCCCAGTCGATTTTGGTGACCTTCACATAATTTTCAAGGTCACGGCGACACTTTGAAGACTTCAGCATGTTAACCTGCATGTTAAGATTGTCAGCGAGATATCTCAAGAACCATAAACTGGACTTTCTTCATATTTGACACCAAGCTTCATCTGGGGAAGGTGCAAGGCCCAGTCGATTTTGGTGAGCTTCACATAATTTTCAAGGTCACGGCGACACTTTGAAGATTTCAGCATGTTAACCTGCATGTAAAGATTGTCAGCAAGATATCTCATAGAACAGTTCACTTGATTTTCTTCATAGACTTTCAAGACTTCCCTTGAATGTTTTTCAATAAGCAATTTCTTTATTACTATTTTTGCATATTTCATACACTAAGACATTCATGTCAAGGTCAAAGTGAGTCTTGAAAATATTTGTGCGTTTGAACAACTACAGAGCAAGATATCAAGAGAGGTTGACTGGTCATGTTTTTGTTGACATTTAACTTCATCTTAAATTACGACCTTCACTTTCATTACTTTTTAAGTTTGATTTGATAATTTACAGGCGGGGATTATGTCACCTTAGTGACAATGCTTGTTTGTACAAATATACCTGTGTATCAATCATGTATCCTGATGTAACCTGTGTTTATCAAATACTGTCATTTCTGACTGGCAAAGGGATGTGTGCATGCTCGGTAGGAGTGATTCTTCCCAACACTCACCTAAAACACATTCCTTATTGCCATATACCTCACAATACACACACATCGCCTCCGTGGTGTAGTGGTAGAAGCGTCCGCCCAGAGGCGGAAGGTCGCGGAGTTGATCCCGACAGCGTCATACCAAAAAGGCGTTAAAATATGCTACTTGTTGGTCCCTGCCTGGCGCTCGGCATTAATGGGTACAACAAGGACTGGTCGGCTCGGAGTCAGTATAATGTGTCTGAGTGGGGTATTCATGCTTCACTGCGGCATGGTATCTCAGTGGGCTAGCACTATAAAACCAGCTTCAGTCCGGGCTAGTACAAGCAGCAGCACATACACATACACACGCATGCACATATGAGCGAAATATTCTCAAGCACGACGTAAAACCCAATTTCACCTCACCTCACCTGAAATCACTGCATCTCTAAGGCCTGTCAGAATCCTATGGAACCTAGATTTGCTCTGATTATGTGCTTCTGTGTTTCATCAGACTGACACAGTGTTCAAAATGGCTTTAAGCCCAACTCACTCACATACACTCAGTGAGCTGATAATGTACATCCAGAGTACACTTGAGTAATGATTTCACATGTGTCAACGCATCGCTAACATACGTGAAACATCATGGACATGATATCAGACCGAGCAGAAACAGACATGCATTTTCTCTTCACTATGTTGTAGATATTATATGTTGTCACTTCAACCATTACATAACTGGGAGTGATCAAGCATACTAGCAACCTAAAGTTGGTCATTCTATCAACCATCTGGAGCTTTGGTAGGGAATCATAGACTAAAACTCAAACTGTCAAATATGTTCAAACACCCTTGCATCAAAGTCTGATGTGTCAAACTTAAAAAAGTAAAAGTTTGGTTCCTTTTCATTCTCTTCTAATCATTTTGTGTCGGGGCGTTGGGGTAGCCTAGTGGTTAAAGCGTTATGGCTAGCGATGGTGGTGGCGAGCTTGAATATTTCCCTCAAGACGGCGTGCATGGTTGTGTAATCCCCTGTAACATGGGCACAAGCTGGTGTGAAGCCCATTTCTGGTGTACCCCCCACATGATGTTGCTGGAATATTGCTAAAAGCAGCGTAAAACCAAAACTCAGTCAGTCAGTCAGTATGTGTCACACCTCACATAACTCGGTAGTCTTTACGTGGGTCCCTTCAACTTGGACACAACTGTGTATGACTATATCTATCATTACAGTACCTGTAACCAATGAGGGAATTAATTCCTACATTGTGTCATATCATATTGTGTATGACAGAGAAGAGTGTTAACTCTTTCCATTGTTGTTGTCTTGTCATTTGGACAGACTGATTATATGATATAGATTTCATCTTCTAAAGAGTGAAATACCACTGGATATCCTTCAGTAATTATTACTGGGACGTGTGTTAATGGTGGTACGATTAATTGAAATAATCAAAGATTGGTTGCAGTGAATAAACGACCAAGCAATCGATCATGTTTTCTCATAATCGAACACAAACAATTCTGGAACTTTTTGCAATAATATTTTTCACAAGGTTGGTTTTGTCTGTTACATTTCATGAGCACTAAAAGCTCGTTCCAAGTCATGACTGAATTTATCTTAAAGACCCCAAGAAATTTATGTCCCTAACATACTAGTCATCCTTTAAAGATGTGCAATTTGCTAAAAAAAACACCAAAGAACTACATGTTTTTTTCTTTATGTTTTTGTGCAAACAAAAATAACCAGGATATTTCATAAATGACACTAACCAATTATTTTCGATGACTGATCGGTTGTAATGAACCATCAATTATGAGATTTTAACCAATTCCCAACACTAACGTGTGTGCCAGTAGATGGAGGCACTAGGTTGATATGTTGACTTGTGACCATGACCCAAGCTTGTCATAGGTTTGAATCCCAGATTAACAATAATCAATGGTCTGTCAGCACCACAATACTGTGAATGCCAGTAATGTTTTATTGTTCCCACATTCAGTGACATCTTCGTACATCAGGCTGACATGTTGTGATGGGACTCAAATGGTGTTCAAAGCTGCCTCAATCCAAACTCACTCACAGACTCTTTGTAAATATGTCTTCAATTAACACATTGCATTCTGTAAGTGAGCATATAAACACCTGAGTGAATCGACAGATTTACAACAGAACAGGCTTGTATTCAAGAAACTTACTGATGCATGAGGCCATTCATTTCACTAAGGGATATACCATTCATCACTGGAGCTTTACACTGTATTGTCAAATCATACAGCTTTGTAGTGGGTTCATAGGGAACCCATTCCTCAGTCTGTTCAAGGCCTCAATAAGATTGACAGTTACTGCCTGATGCAGGCCGCTTGTCAAGGGTTGTCGGTAAGGGTAACTCTGGAGTTGTCGGCAGAAGCGCTAGTTGGATTGTTAGAATGTGGACATCAGTCGACTAAATGGTGAGTGTATTGGTGCTTGTAACAGTGTTTGTGAAATAATGACTGATGTAGGCATTTGTGTGAGCTTTGATATTAATAACAGTGTTTATGATCAGTGAACATCTTATCAAATGAAACTGAAATGGTGATACAACTGAAAAACTGGGTGGTTACAAATGTGACTCCTGTGCAGATTCCAGGTGAGAATTGGTCCTCAGCTGGCACAGAGTTCAGTCATTCTCTGTCTTGTCAAACTGACGGTTATCACAGTTTGCGCAAAGAGCATGCCCTTGAGGTGTGGAGTTACTACTGCGCTCTACAAATGTCCATATTATT